TTTCCAATGCAATCATGGAATGGCTCTAATAGTTAATAGCATAAGTAAAACCTATGCTGGGACAGATGTCAGGAACCAACCAATAAGCAGTTAACAAAGCATCCACTATGTGCCTAGAACTAGGCTTGTTGCTATGGAAAAATATAAAAGGAGATACAGATGGATCCAAGAGCATAAAATACAGTTTATAATTTCTTATTTTAAAAGCAGAAATTACAAGTATTATGTTGATGTTAACCTATGGTCTTTTGTTAGCTCTGTATCCCTTCTAAGAAAGGCAGGCTAATTGGGGCTTTGTTACAACTAACAGATACTGCTGATGACAACATACTCAAACACAAAACTCCAGCAATATGGACTGATAGGAAGCTCTGGTGGTGTAGTGCCTAAGGCATTTGACTGCTGACCAGAAGACTGGTGGTTCAAAGCCACCAGCCACTCCTCGGAAGAAAGATTGGGCAATGTACTTCTGTAAAGAGAGTGCCTCGGAAAGCCAAGGAGAGGTCGCAGAGTTAGATCCGACTTGACGGCAGTGAGTCTGGGTTGCTGTTTTTTTCTTTTTATCCACTAGTTCTGCAAATCACATTAACATATTTTGGAGAAAGTCATTGCATAAATGCTAAATCCTAACCCATAATTGAGGAGAACTCAAAAACCAGACCAAACTCCCTACCATCGAGTCCATTTGACGCATAGCAATCCCCTTCCTTGGGTTTCTGAGGCAGTATCTCTATGAAAATAGATTGCCCAGTCTTTCTTCCGAGGAGTGGCTGACGGGTTTGAACTGCCAGCCTGCTGGTTAGCAGTCAAATGCCTTAGGCACTATGCCACCAGAGCTCCTAGCTGTAGTTTATTAATGGCTTATATATCTACTGGACTAAATTCACAACATAGTATTATCAAGTGGTTCTAAACTATGCAGGAAAAGATAATTACAACTCTTAGAAATTCACAGAAAGCCCAATTATTGAGGTGGCAGAGGCTGATCAATGGACTGCCTAACTGTAGCACACCCCCCTCCCCCAAACATGCACCCTTCAGCACATAAGGATGGACTGAGAGAAACAGCTCTACCATAAACCTCTGTTATCTGGAAGATTTTGGGAGTCACTCCAAGATCTCATATCTAGGTCTGTAGTGATACTGCCACAGAAACCCAAGGAGGGGTCGCTATGAGTCGGATCCGACTCAACGGCAGGGAGTTGGTTTTGGTTTGGAGGAATTTCCAAACTTCTAAGTAATTAATGTTTTGTGGTATTAACCAAAGGAAATATACCTGTATTAGCAAGTGGTCATGGAGAAATGAGTTTGACATATAGTAATGGGTAGGAGTAAATACATTTGTTGCTTCTAAGAGTGAATGGCTCTCATATTGAATGACTGTCATTTTGCCCACATATGCTATGATTTAAGCAAGCACACCCTGCAGCTTGGACTCTTGTGGCATTTTTCACCCTCCTTCAATAATCAACCTCTATGGCACGGGCAGAGGTCAGATCTAGAATAGACACAAGAAGTCTATATACACTTTAAACAGGAAAATCTTGTATCTTTCCAATACACAAACTATTTAAGAAAACTGCTTACTTGAGGGTTGTTGTTGTTGTTGCTATGTGCTGTCGAGTTGGACCCAACTCATAATGACCCCTCCTTGGGTTTCCAAGGCAGTATCACTATGGAAGTAGATTGCCCCATATTCCTTCCGAGGAATGGCTGGTGTGTTTGAACCAACAGCCTTCCAGTTAGCAGTCAAGTGCCTCAGGCATTACACTACCAGGGCTCCTACTTGATGGCTTAATAACCTCTAGAACAACCTGTCAGGTATTCTGTTGTGTCTTCAGTGCACATCATCTGAAACATCATAAACTGGTGAACCACACAAACTGTATCATGCATTTTTTTTGAATTTGTACAACTTAATACAACTTAATAAGGAAGACCAAAGAGTTGATGCCTTTGAATTATGATGTTGGCAAAGAACATTAAATATATCATAGACTGCCAGAACAATCAACAAATCTATCTTGGAAAAAGCTTATCCAGAATGCTCTGTAGAAGTGCTTTGGGCCTCAGCAGGGACAACCAATCTCTGGAGAAAGACATCATGCTTGGTAGAGAGTCAGCGAAAAAGAGGAAGACCCTCAAGGAGATAGACTGACACAGTGGCTGCAACAACCGGCTCAAACACAGCGATGACTATGAGGATGCTGCAGGACGGGCAGTGCTTTGTTCTGTTGCACACAGTCAGGGTCACTGACTTGACCACACCCGACAATACTTCACTGGGACTGTAATGATTATGCCCAGGAAATTTAAAAAGCAATTTTACAAATTTACAAATACATTAGAATAATAAGGAGCTCTGGTGGCATAGTGCCTATGGCATTTGACTACTAACCAGAGGTCAGCAGTTCAAGCCCACCAGCCACTCTGTGGAAGGAAGACCAAGCAATCTACTTCCATAAAGATTTACCACTTCAGAAACCCAATAGGGGTCGCTATGAGTTGGAATCCATTCGATGGCCAGTGGGTTTGGTGTTAGGTTTTTTTTTTTTTTTAACAATTCATTCACTTCTTACACCAAATTTGTGAGTAATCAAAATCATTCCCATTCCACAGAAAAGGAAATAAAGAGAACTCGTAAGTTCTCCTTTCCTCCATTTCTAATTAATTCAGCAAGTGGCTTAGATGACAGCTCATACAGGATTTCTTCTTCTTTCTATACTAGTCAATCGTTCTTCCACTATTAAAATAAGTAGAAGTAGCAAGAAAAACTATTTAAGGTCCCAAGGCAAGTTAAAGGGGGTCCCTGGGTGGTGCAAATAGATTGTACTCAACTACACTAACCTAACTGCTCCAAACCCGCTGGGCAGCCTCACTTCCTTCCCGGCCCCCTCAGGCCCACACTAACTTAAAGGGAGGTGGTGAAACCCACCCAGGAATGCCACAAAAGTCCTGACTATTTGCTTCTACAAAACTATAGCCAAGAAAACCCTGTGGAGCAATTCTACTCTGTGACATACCAGGTCGCCATGATTCGGAATCTACTCAACAAAGGGCTTGGTTTCGGTTTGGCAGTTCAAAGACAAATAGAAACCTAAGCAAACATCATTTCCCAAGCAGGCTGCTTTGGTTGCAGTGTGATTCTGGCACTTCATGCACAAAGCTGGGTAATGCAGAGGGACCTGCACAGAAACAGACCTGAATGCCCAGACAGGTTCTGAAATTACTCCAACATTTGATTCATTTTCAAGGTTCAGAGTGAGGTCCTAACTGACAAGTCTCCAGAAACAGGCATTTGGAGCAAAAACTAAACAAGATGTGGGAACACAGCTGTTCGATTGAAATTATAATTATCTGGATGTCCCAATTCAACACCCTGACATATACCACTCTACTGAACATCAAAGTGAACAGCTATAAAACTTCTATCATGAATAACTTTGATGACTCTAACTTTTAAAACACAAGTCAATTCTGTTACCTCAAAATGTTCTAAAGAAGAGGAACATAACTTTTACTGGTCTAGATCAAATTACATGAATTCTAAAAATTCCAATTTAGGAGCTTACTCATTATGGAAATTTTGGTGAGTAAGTAGAAAAAAAGAATATTAAAATAATTTGCTGACAGGTTAGTAACAGAATAGACCCTAAAGGTATCTCAATAAAAAGTATTTATCATAAATAACAACCATTATTTTGAATCAAATTTATTTTCATATAAAATATATTTTTAAATTTTAAAGTCCAAACTTTTTTTGTAAAATAGCTTCTAGAACAGTAGTTAACAGGGGCTTAAGAATAGTGAATAAATTACATCACATCATTTGCACTGACTTTTAAACTTTGCTTTTAAATTAATACATTAAAATGTCTTTTAGTAAAAAAAAAAAAAAGGTCTTCTAGAAGAATTTGCATTCTGTACAAAATTATCCTCTTTGTATGATGTTTAAAATGTGGACAGCATTATTTAACACAAGTGATTAAAAAGTACAAGAATGTTAAAAATTTCTTATTACTAGAATTCAGTAATTTTGCCAATTTTATCTGGGTAAAGAATAAATTACACTTGGAATATAAAGCATATTTATAGATCTTTTTTTTTTCCTGTCAGTTTTATCCAGTTTATTGACTTTTAAGTAAACAGTTAGCTCAGATAGTAAACTAGAAAATACTTTTTATGGTGGCTTACAAACTGCATTTTAAAACCTAAAAATGCAATTCACGGCCATTTTGGGCAGCAATGTAACCAAAGTATAAACAGTAAGGATCCACACACCCTTAAATAACTAACTGTCCTTCCACTTAACAAAAAAGGACCTCTTAAGGAGGCAGAGTTCTCGCTCACTTAACTATAACCCCAGTTCAGCATGGAATCAGAGCAAACACCAAAAGTAACAAAAGGTGAAAAAGTGACTACAGAGGACCATGCACTATTATTAACCCATATGCAACTCAGTGCTAGCTTCTGACAGAAATATTTTGCTGTGTATTTGAAAAAATCTCTTCTCAAGAGTAAACTGTTTTCATTTAAGAAGTAATTAGGCTAAATTTAAAATCTTAACTGTCCTCTACTTTCATTATCTTTTATAATGTTATGCTGTTCCTTTTCAAGTTACCCACCAGCCACTCCTCGGAAGGAAGGTTGGGCAACCTACTTCCGTAGTAATGCCGCCTCGGAAACCCAAGGAGGGGTCCTTATGAGTCGGATCCGACTCAACGGCAATGAGTTTGAGTTAGTTGTTGACTGGAGTTGTTACCAGCAACCAGTTCAAGATATGAGTATTATTGTACTATTTAGTTTTAGTTACAGATAATAAAGGTACAAAACAAATAAGGCTGCTATTATTTAGATACTGCAATAAATACACAAGAATGAATACAAGTTATTTTTTAGAAAAATACAATTTCCAATCACGTTAGGAGATTTTCAAACTATGAGGACATTAAACACTTCAAACACCAGGTAGGCCCCTTGCTATAGAATGCCAGTCGGGCGAGGTCTGGAAGAGATTCTTTATTGGTAGCCATATACAGTTGACACTACCTGCAATCTCTGTGTTTTCTTGCAATTTAAGTAAAAATATGGTACCTGGGCATTTAAAACATTATCAATGTAATAATCACTACAGACTCTCAGTGAATCTTTTAAAATTTTGTTAAAATTTGCCAAAGTCATGATGAATACAATTACTACAGCTACATTATTTGAAAAGTAATATAAATTATACTGCTAAAGACAAAAATACATTGAAATACATAAACATCACAATGCAACACAACAGAAACTCATAACTATTTAATATGAAAAATTAAATTAAAAAATTATGTTAGAGAACTTGGGAATTTTTCACTTTAGCAAAACATTCTATTTATATAATTTCAACTTCTATAATACAGTATACAATATTTTAAAAAGGCATGACATTCAATTGTTTCATTTACACAAATAATATTGCCAATACTAATAAAAGTGATGCCCTTAACATGAACTGTTCTGCTAATCATGATTTTAAAATGCTTTCTTTACTTCATTTTACATTTTAGTTAGCATTACTTATTAATCAGCTCCGTGCTGACATATAGAGAGGATCCTGTCAAAATACTGTTTCTCGAAAGTAATGTACATCATATTGCTTGAAACAAAACAATGATATAAAAGTGGTAATCATTTATCTAAACATTGATTATGAAAGACAACTGGCATATATTCAGGCAGAGTGTTGAATTCATGATGGTTTATTTACAATAAACATACTTGTACTGATGCTACACATGATATACAGGTTTCTATATCAATTACTACAATCTCTTAAAGTTATAAAAATATTATATAAAATACCACAGGCTTTAGAGGGTATAACTTCATGTGGTCTAATACTAGCAGCTGAAAAGTGTTTATAATTTAAAAATAAATAACCTATAGAGGTAAACCAGTTACAAAACAGCAGAGGACCGCAACAGTCACAAGAGTGAAAAGAATTGCTTAATAACACAATAGCTAACAAAATGGTGAAGCAGTTGGATCAAAGGTTTTGAAAACCTCTTTCAGAGATTTGTCATCCACTTCTTTATTGGGGTCATTATCTGGGGTTGGGCTCACCTGTCCCGGCTGCCTTGTTTGCCTTGGATCACTGTACTGGGGTCTAATTAAGCCCGTTATTAGCGCTGGGATAGGAAGACTATGCACTGCTGGGGCCTGGACCTTCCCAGAACTCCTGAGAATATCTGCCTCGGGGTCAGCTGGCCCCTTGACCATGCCTTCCACATCTGGAGCAGTTTTTTGTGGCAGGATTATTTCCGCAGGAGTAGGCTCATTTTTGCCACTACTTTTCAAACCACCACTTTTTTTCTGGTTTTCTGCATTTTCTCCTAAAGAAACTGTTGCTAGCTCTGATGTAGATAATGAACCATGCTCCCTAGGATCATACAAACTAATACCACTAAGAACTGAACTTGGAGTTCCTAGTGGAAGGCCAGCTGAAGACGACAGTTTAGGGGCATATGGAGGCAGAGCCCCAGGCCCAGAACTGCTGGTTACTGCCCCTGAGGGCTGTGATGAAGCAGGGCTTGATCTTGCTAAATAAGGGGTACCCTTAGACGTATGTGAATCCTTTGTAACCCCTTGATGTGACTCTGTATTGGGCAGTCTGTGAAGTCTAGGATCAAAATTTTTTTGCAGTCTGGGATCTCCTAATTTACTTCCTGAACTATGTAAGTCTCCAAATTGATCTAGGTAGCCTTTTCTGTTTGTTGTGTTATTTTTGGCTTTGGCTGCTAATTTTGATTCAATGGGCATTGTGTGTTGCTGAAAATCATTCTTTGCGTCCCATAACCTATTGAGCCGCTGGTCAGCTATAAGAGGGGGAAGCGGTAAATTGATTGAAGATACTGGATCAGGTTTAGGTAAAGGTACTGGAAGTAAGTCTTCAGGAGCCCACACGATGTGTTTTGCAAAGTTTGGTTTGGTTAGGATAATATCCATTTTAATGTGACTGAATTGTCTCAATTGTGACCTTGGATCCTGGAGCATTATACCAGGTGAAGGATCCAAAGGTATTAAGAAAGCTTTTTCTCTCAGCTCTCTTTCTGTATGTTCATCATCATCTCCTCTTTTGTGTTTGACATTAGTGCCAGCATTTGTATGACGTAAATCACATTTGGCTCCACAAACAGAAGAGCCTACATGACCACTTCCATTCCCTCTTAATTTCCTGGGATCCCATGCAAGTCTAAGATCCAGTGGGTCAGACTCAGAAGGTTTTCTAATGCCTTGCCTTGGGATAGTCCTAAGTCTAGGGTCAACCACTTGGTGTATTTTACTTTTTTCTTTAGCAAGCCTTGGATCAGTAGGTATGCTGAGTTCTGTGGGAGGTTGTTGTTGATTCCTTAAAATTTCTGTTTGTTTCTGTAATGTTTTCAATATTGACTTGACACTGCTTCCTTCCTCCTCTTCACTGCTGGAATACCAGTTAACAGTATCATCTAAATGTAGATAAAAAGTTATTATAAAGAACAAAAGCATTCACATTTGGTCTTACTTAAGACAAAAAAAATACATACTATTTCTGAAATGAGTATGTCTAACTTTAAGTGAAAGAGCCCTGGTGGCACAATGGTTTAGTGTTCAGCTAACAGAGAGGTCAATGATTTGAACCCACCAGTGGCTTAACTCTGGTCATGTCAGGAGGGACCTTCTCTAGAGAAGGATATCATGCTGGATAAAATGGAGGGTCAACAAAAAAAGGGGAAGGCCCTCAACGAGATGGATTGACACAGTGGCTGCAACGATGGGCTCAGGTATAGCAAAGATTGTGAGGCTGGCACAGGACCTCACAGTGTCTCGTTCTGTTGTACGTAGAGTCGCTATGCATCAGAGATGACTCAGTGGCAACAAACAACAACAGCAAGTGTCTTAAAAGACCTGGCAGTCTGCTTCCATAAAGATTACAGCCTAAGAAACCCTATGGAGTGGTTCTACTTCATTCTGTAGGGTCACTATAGGGTTGCTGAAGCAGAATCAACTCAACATACCACTTCAAGTGAATGTATGATGGAAGTGCCAGAGTTTCAACACTGGCACAAGATTAAGATGTGGCATAACAATGATCAATTCTGTATTACACTCTGTAAAGGAAGAGGTGTGATACAGAAGTATGTATGATATCCTTCCAGGCACAGCAAAGTCAGGACCTTTCATTCCAACTAGCCAAATGGAACTCAGAAGTGTAGGGGGCATGCATGGAAAAGCTGGGGAGGAAGGGGAAGACTCTTCGAACAGAATCCTAAAATGTTTTACATATCTTTAATTCAAGCAATTCCTAAACTGCATAGCTCTGCATTTATATATATAAGCCGACTCAATGGCAAATAACAACAATATATATATATATATATATATATATATATATATATTTGGAAAGAAAACAAAACACTAAATGATAAACCAAACCAAACTCACTGCCATCAAGTCAATTCTGATACACAGCAACCCCTGTTGGGTTTCTAAGACTATAAATCTTTACAGAAGCAGACTGCCTCATTTTTCTTCTGCGGAACAGCTGGTGGGTTTGAACTACTGACCTTTTGTTTATCAGTGAAATGACTTAACCACTATACCACTAGAGCTCCCTATAATGGGAACTGAAACTGAATAAACAAGGGACAGGGATAGAGATTTTTTCATTTATACTTTATTATACTTTTAGATGCTTGACCCATGTGAATATATTAGCTATTTAAACATTTAAAACTTAAGATTAACACATAAAACTAATGTCTTAAACTTATAATACCATAACTTTATGTGAGTATTTTGGGCCTTACTCCTAAAGCCTATTTAATCCTGGTGTATTAGACAATTTAAAAAAGTTTAGCTACCAGGGGGTTTCTCTTGGAGAATAGAAGAGATTGTAAATGGATGCTTCAGAAAGGTGATGTGCTTCCTGTCCATTAAAACACACAGAGATTTGCTCCAAAATGACCACAGAGAATCTACTCTTCACATTCTTGTCAGAACACAGAACCTTGTGGTGGGGGAAGTAGAGAGAGCGAATATCCTAGAATTATCTTGTATAAAAAGAATGTCCTAGGTATTCTAGTTTTTACCTAATTTCATTGCTCACAAATATGTTTCTACTACCTGGAACCTCAGTGTTACGCGTTTAGTTTGAACAGAGCAGAGCTTACAAAATAATCACTGGTATTTAGGGTAGGGATGTGGTTTAAAATAGCATATACCATATCCCAATGGCAGAAAGTTTTACTCAGATCTTACTGTCTACAAAAACTACTTCTAGACATTAAAAAACCAAAAACAAAACTCACTGCTGTAGAGTCAGACCCGACTCACAGCGACCCCTCCTTGGGTTTCCGAGGCAGTATCGCTACGGAAGTAGATTGCCCAACCTTCCTTCCGAGGAGTGGCAGGTGGGTTTAAAATGCCAGCCTTCTGGTTAGCAGTCAAGTGCCTTAGGCACTACGTCACTAGACATTAGATCTCTTTATCTCTTTTCTTGACCTCCAGGAAACTTAGAGCTGGACTTGTGATTCACTTTTACCTGTTGCAATTATTCTAAATATTTCTGCATAGTAATTTCACTCTTCATAGTAATTTCACTCCTCAGAGTACTAGTTGCTTCTACTTTTCTTTTCATTCTCATACAAATCTATTTTGTAAACAGTCTTAAATCTTTTTTGGAATCAGAATGAATAGATTAACAGAAAGAAAGTAGAACATTAGAGAGAGTTAAATGGAAAAGGGGTACCAGATAAGAAATGATAGTTAGAGGAGGCGGGGCAAGATGGCTGACTA